CTCTCAGCCCCCGGATCTCTCGCTTGGCCCCGCAAACTCGCTCGGATCTCGCACTGGCTTCAAAGCTAGCCGTACGCTCGGACCCCCACCCGGCTCGGGCCGCTTTCTTCCCACATGCCTTTCACTCGCGCCTACTCGTCGCAGCACAACGCAACCATGGATCCGAGCACCAGCACCCACGCCTCCTCCTCCTCCCACACTCCTTCCTCCCCGCGTCAAGCCGACTCTTCCCACATTGCCTACTCGAGTCCAGATGCGCCACCCGAACACGACTCGTCGCGTTCCCGCCTCTTCTCGTCCGGTCGCAAGTCGCCAGACCCGTTCCGCCGATTTCGCCGCAACTCGAACAACTCCCTGCACATCCTGACCGCTCCCCCCACCCTCGACGCCGCTCAATCTTTCGACGCGCAGCAGTACCATCTCGAACGTCAGGACCGCTCCGTCCCCGACTATCCCGCCGCTCTCAACACGCCCCGCTCCGCGCCGCCACCGCTCCCGTCGCCCTCCACAAAACCAGACTTCCAGCGTCCTAAGCGCACAAAGTCGTCCAGCATCTCCATCCTCTCCTCCGGCTTGGCCAGGCGCCCAAAGGATTCGCTACCGCCCTCCTCCTCCTCTCCGGACGTCCGAAGGAGGCATCGCAAGAGCGCCTCCCTCTCGGGCTCCGACGTCGACTTTTCCTCTTCCAACAGCATCCTCGACTCGAACCACTCACGTCCCACTACGCCAATGATGCGCCCCGCCTCGCCTTCGCCCTCCCTCTCCGACAGCCTCGCTTTCCCGCCTTCTTCGGCTGCCTACCGCTCCAAACAGCACAAGCAGGCTTGGTATCAGGCGCAACAAAAGACCATCGAGCTCGAAGGAACATTCAACCGCGGCATACACTCCCCGGAATCCAGCACTGCGCATCTCTTCCCGCTCAACGTCACCACCACCCAGTCCAACAGCGGGCCCGCCACCGATCGCGCGCGCAGATCACCCACACACTCGCGCTCTGAGCGTCCCGTCGTAGAGACCTTTCTGTCCGAGGAGGAGATGCTCGCCGCCGGCATCCACATCATCCGCAGACGCGACCAAGACGCTGCTCCAACCCCTCCCGCCAGCCACAAGCACCTCCCCTCCCTTTCCACCGCCACCTTGGCGCCTACAAAGCCGCCACGCCTAGACGGGGCCGATCAGCCCGACTTTCTCGAGCTCATCGACTCGCCCATCCCCAGCAAACACGCAAGCCCGCTCCTCGGCCAGCTCGTCGATCCGCCCGCCTCGGCAGCCCCACTGCAACGCGCCATCTCGCACACACACGCAAAGTCCAGCAGCGGCAGCATCTCCATGTCCTCGGCAGACTCCAACGACTACCTCCCGCTCTCCTCCTCCCGGAACCAGATGCACCGCGACGACTCCTCTTCGCTCAACAACGGCAGCGCAAGCAGCCTCGGCAGCACTGGCAAACACTCCTTCTCCTTTGCCAAGCTCCGGCGCAATGGCGCAAAGAACAAGGACGCCGCTTCCTCATCCCGGCCCTCCACCGCCAACTCGTCCAACGAGGAGGTCAACAGCGTCAAGTCGTTCCTCTACCCCACGCGCGCAGCACAACCTCAGCCTCACCAGACGCACCAGTCTCGCCAGCAGACGCCCGTGCCTACCGCGCCGCAGTCTGATGCACCTGCGCAGGCGGCAGCTTCGCCACCAGGCTACCTTTCGCCAGGTCCCAGCTCCTCGGCGTCGCCGTTCCTCAACAAGCACTCTGCTACAGTTGGACGTGCCTCGGGCAGCTCCCTCGCTGGACACACCGCTCAGGACGGCCTCACCCAGGTCTTTGGCGGTGGCTCGGGCGCTGCTTCCCTCGATCCATCGTCCTCGGCAGCCAGTGCTCGTGTTCTCTCATCCACCAATGGCATTCCACCTCCCAAGCCGCCAAAGCCCAAGCCGAGCTTGCTCGCTGCCTTTCCGCGCTCGGACAACGCCACGCCGGGTGTTTCGATTTCCGCGCCTACATCGGCCAACCTCGACTCGCGCCATCCTATTGACGGCGCCTCGCGCAATCTGCTCAGTCTGCCCGGTCAGGCAGGCGCCGCACAAGAATCGGCGGCTATTAGCATCTACCGCAACATCTCGCACTCGCGCTCTCAGGAGGCCGTCGCCGAGGCCAGGCTCGACGCGGAGGCGTTGCGCGCGTCTGCAGGCACTCCTATGCCTCCGCCGCGCAGACTCAACCAGCAACGAGTTGGCCTCGCCGGTGCCGGTGCAGCCGGCTCGCCCGCATACTCGGCATACTCTAGCTCCGCCATGGGCAGGAGCACATCAGGCGGCGCTGGCGGCGTGGTAGGCGCGCTGGGCCATGTCGGCCAGTTTGGTGCTGCAATGGGCCGTAAGGGCTGGGATTTTATGAAGACGCTCCAGACTTCCAATACAGCTGCCACGTCGGGTCGTAATGGCACTTATGCGTCCGCTTACCGCGCCGGGGGCGCTGGTGCATCGTCAGCTTCGAGCTTGGCTGCCGCGGCCGAAAACGAGCCGACGCGCCAGTGGCTGCTGCTGCTCGAGGCGCCCGAGTCGTCGCGCGCCGCCTCGCTCCGGGGACCAGGCGAGGTGTTTGGCGCGTCACTCCAAGATGCCGTCTTGCGCTCGCGTCTCTCGAGCATCTCGACCGACAATGTGCGCGCCGAAGACCACCTTGGAGTGCCAGATCTGGGTCAAAAGTTCAGTGCCAACTTTCTCGACTCGCCCGGCGCCACGCCGCGTGCCTCGGTCGCCAGCGCGGGCGCTGGTGAGCCCGTGGATCGCGACGAGGCGCGCCACCTGTATCTGCCGCGGCTCGTGGTGCGCTGCATCCAGAGCCTGGAGCGCTGGGGTCCGTCGGAAGAAGGCATCTACCGCATCAGCGGCCGTAGCAGCCACACGGCCAAACTGCGCGCCCACTTTGCCGATCCACGTAATGATCTGCGCCTCGACGAGATCAGCCCGGCGGACCTGGACATCAACTCGGTGTGCAGCCTGCTCAAGAGCTATCTGCGCGAGCTGCCCGAAACGCTCATCCCGCCCGCGCACACCGCACAGATGGACGCGGCGGTGGCGCGCCTGTTTGCGGGCATCGACTCGTCGGCGCCTGCAGCCGAAGTGCAGAGCGCAGCGGCAGGCAAGGCGAGCGAGGCACGTGCGGCGCAGATCCCTGTCGAGCACGTCGCCAAGGAGCTGACGCCGCTGGTGCAGAAGCTACCCGTGCACAACTGGTACCTGCTGCGCGAGCTCACGCACCATCTCGGGCTGCTGGCGCAGACGGACGTGGTGGCGCACACCAAGATGCCGCTGAGCAATCTCACGCTCGTGCTCGCGCCGACGCTTTCGATCTCGCTCGCGCTGCTGCAGGTGCTCGTGCGCCACCGCGATGGCGTGTTTGGCGCTGCGCCGCACGTGGATGTCGCCTCGGCGGCGGCGCAGGCGGCGAGCGCGCTGGCAGGCGCGTCGTCCAAGGACAGCGCACCTGCGTCGCCCGCCAAGGGCGTGCGGCCGCCGCGGCCGGTCAAGCCGGAGCGGCTGAGTGGCGCGAGCAAGCTGCCGGTGATGGTGCGCAAGCGCGCGTCGTCGATGGGGCTGGGTGCGCTGCTGTCGTCGCCGACGTCCAAGACGGCGGATGCGCGCGACCGGGTGCGCGAGCAGCACCGGCGCACGTCTTCCACGACGCCGTCGCTCGAGCTGCCTGCCGACATCACGGCGTCGGCGGCGTCGGGCGCGCGCACGCCGCCGCCGCCGTCGCCGCGCGCCGACGAGCCGTACGAGCGTCCATCGACGTCGCTGGGCCACTTTGACGCTGCGCCGGCGCGCGCGCGGCCGGGGCACGCACGATATGGCTCGCGGGATGCCGCGCTGCGCTTCGACGCACTGGCTCTCGACGATCGCGGCGACGAGCGAGGCGGGCAGGACACGCCGATTGCGCGGTACTATGCGCGCATCCGCGAACAAGCCGAGCTTGCGAGCACGGGGGGCGACGACGACGCGCCTCGCGACGGCGGCGCGACGCCCGTGGCGCCGATCGTGCCGGCGGCGGGCGAGATGCACCGGTACTGGGCGGAAAAGACGTCGACGGCGGGCCGCAGCGGCAGCACGAGCGCGCTCGACCGCCCGCGGCCGCCGACGTCGGGTTCGGCGAGCTTTTTCGCCGGCCGCAGCCGGCGGCAGGACTCGGTGAACGGGCTGGCGGCGTTCAAGCCGGGCGCGCACGAGAGCGCGATTCCGACGCTGGTGCGCAACGGCGACGAGGGCGCGACGCGGCCGCTGCACATTGTCAAGCGCACGCGCGCGCGCGGCGCGTCGGATGCGTAGCGCACACCACCGGAATGCCATTGCATTGTTGGGCCCAGTATAAAGCGCGACCGAGGTGCGCTGGTGTGAGTGGCAACTGGCTGAAGCGCGGCAAGAAATGGGATTCGTCGTGGTGCCAGTATGACTTGTGAGATGGTGTTCGGTTGGTGGGGGGGGGGGGGAGTAGTTT